CGTCCTTTCCGCCCGACGGGCTGTCCTCTTTGCTGGAGGGATTCTTCTTGTCGTCCTTGCCTCCCGGTGGCTTCTTGCTGTTACTACTCATGCTACGCTATGTAGGATTCGCGAGCATGATTCGCTCGAGTGACTCACTCTCGTTCAAAATTGCACACCGTTACTGATACACGAAACAGAAAGAAATTGTACGACGATACAAACTTCTCCATTTAACGCAACGTACACTTGGCGAAATAAAAGACACGGTAATGTCACGGTAATCACATTTACCACAAAAGGATTTTAGGAGCGATTTTAGGAGTTAACGAGAAGTAAAACGATTTTGCTTTGTATGAAAAAAAAAAAACAATTTCAGATAGTCACATTTCAGAAAATCACAATATTTATAATAAGCGTCGAAAAGATATATTTTAAATGTATTACGTAAAATTGGATAATAAACTTGATTACGCTTTGACGCTCGATTAATCGCTAAAATAAAAATATTTTTATAAATATTACATGCACCACAAGAAGAGCTTAGCGTCTTCGATTAGATTAAATACAACTATATTTCCATTAATTTCCTTTTGATTTATTTTGCGTTTCGTATGATAGTATTATCTACACGAACGAAAGGTCGTTGCAATGGACGCGCTATCAATTATTTTTGTACTCTCAGTTACGTCGAGTGAAAATTGTTAACGGCAGCGAGCAAGTGTTAACGGCACGGTTAGTCTGGCGATTCTGAAGACGGTAACCCAGAGCGGACTGGGAGAAGAAGAGAGAGGGTTGCTTCCCTTCGAGCCTCGTTCGCTCGGCAGGATCGACCAATCGCCGACTCGGTCTCGCGGTTCGTTAGGGTAATGTTGCACCAGTACTCCTTTACCTTCGATCTGCACGGATTGCTTTTCGCGCACACAGGCCAACGTCGTGGTAGGCCGTGCTGGTCGTCGTTGGTAGCAGGTAAGGAAATCAAGCAGGAGGTGGTGGTTCAGGTGGAGAAAGGGTGAGAGAGCCGCGGAGGGGCTGTTATGGCTGCCGTCGACACGCGACTTCCGGACCAGCCCGGCAAGCATGCTATCCGTCTATCTTGAATCCACCGGACTCTCTGCCACGGCTCTCTAAATAACGTCTCTCCTCGTTCTTTTTCGCTTTCTCTCACCCGAGAGAGAGAGAGAGAGAGAGAGAGAGAGAGAGAGAGAGAGAGAGAGAGAGAGAGAGAGAGAGAGAGAGAGAAGAA